GGAGAAGTGATATTTCCATAAGAGCCCTGGAGGATTCACTTTAGGACACAGAGAAGCTGTTCTATCAGGCATTGTGGACTTGTTTGAGTGTCCAAGTTTTCCCCAAAGACAAAAACACCATTCTGGAATCACAAACACCAATTCACTGTCAACAATTCTAGTTTTAACATTTGAAACAACACTTTATACCACTATTTTCCACTATTGGTGATACTTCTGACATAAGCAAGCTTTGTTTAATACATGTTTAGGTTTGTTCTGCTGTTAATAACAAAACAACTCAGTCATAGTAATTTAAGAAAATCAGTATTTATTCAGCTTGCAGTTAGAGTGTCCAAAGTTCAAAATACAGGCTGGTGAGGGTGTTCTGGTTTCATCACAACATGAAGAGGGCAACAGAGTATGGTCTGTGCTCCTCGTGTCTCTCCTCTTATAATACTGGACACAATTAGGGGCCTACCCTGATGACCTTAATCCTAATCAACCATATGTCCTACTCATTGACACAACAATGTGATCCTGTCTTGCCCTCTTAATCCCATTACAATGACTAATATATGAATTAGGTGAAAATTATATCAATATCAATATATAAAATTTATTCTTAGTGTTTCCATTAGAGTGGTCATGTCTGGGGAAAACAAAACATGATTTTGTGAAGGCCAAACGTCTTGATTCCCTTCTGGAGTCAATGAAATGAGTGGCTCAGCAGTAAGCGGCATGACTAGATTACTGGAACTATTACAAAGAACCATTGCTCTTTGTATACTCTGTGAATACAATTGCAATTTTATTCTGGTTCAATGATTAATAAAAGTTTTCAAAGAGTAGAGAGGACAGCATTAAGAGGAGAAAGTGACAGAAAAAGTGAAAATGTGAATTTAGTTGGGTTAAAAAAAAAAAACAGAAAGCGGAGGAGACACAGGCAGAGAATAACAAAGAAGTATAGATTAGTCCAGGAAAGAAGCAAAATAACAGGAACAGATGAAGGATCAGAGAGAGAATAAAGCTGAAGTAATGAAAAACTGAGCGGACAGGGTCAGTTGTTTTTCTTAAACATGG